AAGGAAAAGGGGACACGACTTAGATCGCTGAAAATGACCAAGCTGGCCTCAAAAAGGTAATGCTACCCATCAGTGCGGGGCTAGCATCAGAATTCTGCCAGGCCAAGTCGAGGTCCAAAGACACGTGCTTGGCGAGCGGGTTGGGAATCCAAGACTGCTGAGAACACACACGGGACTGTTCATTAGATTCAGTGACTGGCTGGTGCAGCCAGGAGACCCTGAAGGTGTGAGGAAGCGCTTCAGAGATATATCTGCGTCCTGGGCCTGGGGAGCCAGAGGAGAGCCTCAAGGGCGCCCCTTTTGGAGAGCGCGCCGCCCGCGATTCTCCCATAGTGGAATCCAGAAAATGGCCAGATGAGCCCCCAGCTGCTCGCGGAATTTCCAAATGAAGACTGATATTTGCTCGTCAGTTCGCTCTTTTGTTTGTTCTTCCATTCGCTCATTTCTCGAGCTTCCAACCACGTGCTGAGAACTGTGCTGGGTGCCCTCTTCGCCTGGATTCTGAGAAACAAAAATATACAGACAGCCTGTCAAATCAAAGAGAGGCTGAAACTTGCAGAACCAGGCAATTTCTGCCTGAGGCAAGTGGGGAATACTGGTGGTTCTACCACTCCGTAAAACCAACACTTTTGAGTCTCGGTAGGGAAAAACCGATGCTGTCTTCCACTTCCTCCCATTTTCTATGCGGTACCTTTCCCGGTTTGCTGACTGCAGCCCTCTGGGTTGTCAAGCCCGAGTGGGAAACTGGGGGAAAAAAACTCAAGAAGGTTCTGGCATTTGTCTTGGTTCTTACTTTCCCTAGCTCGCTCAATCTCAATGCTAGTCTGCTTCCACCTACAAGATGAGGCCCGGGACGCCTATCCGCACACCACACTCCAGGTGAACGTGCTCCGTGGAGCATCTACAACGCTACATCGAGTCCTACTTGTGAACTCGTTGTCTTGCTGTGTTGTGATGTTCTTACAATCCTGAATACTAGTGTGGATCCTCAGCCAAATGATTGGCTCCGACTCCACTGCCAGCGTGACTACTCAGTAGCTCCTCCTTGATGCTATAAATAACCACAGAACTGCAATAACCTTGTTCCTTTGTTCGGTAAATTCTTTTGTGCCAAGCTTTGTGCTAGATGTTTCTTCAACCACTTAGCAGCTGAAGGTAGGACCAGGGCTATGGCCAGTGATGTAGCTCAGTTGGAAGAGCTTTTACTTGGACTGAGTGAGGCTCTGGGTTCAATCCCCAGCACCGCCAAAAAAAAAAGAGATCGTTAATTTCCTGTTTCCATGTTAAGGTCCTTCCTTACTGCTATTAGCCAAAAACTTAAAACTCTCAAAGCCATTTGTTCTGACATTTTAAACAGCAGGCATATAATTTGCTCTGTGTGCGCTGGGTTCTGGATGCAGTTCCAGGAGCATCAAAAGGCCGACGTGCCAAGGAGTGCCTAATCAGTCTGGGTGGCAAGCCGCAACCCGAGGCGACCCAGGCAGCGGCGGCCACACATTCTGCTCCTTAAAGAATTCCTCTGGGATCCCAGGCACGCTGCACTGCGCTCACATGCCTCCATCTAATGACTGAATTTCTTGGCGAGTAAGAATTGTCTTGCATCCTTTTTCCTTTTCTACTGTGTGAACACTAACAAAGACCTCAGTAAACACAGCAATGAAGAAACGAAAGGACGAAGAAATATAGCTAAGCCTGTAGTGCTTAACTGTATGCCAGTTACTTTTGTCAAGTTTTTGGATGCAATAAATCTCCACAGTAATTTGTGAGTTAATTTAATGTAAATCCTATTTAATTTTATCCCATTACATAATTAAGAAAAGTGAAGCCAAATGGCTAATTGAATTTCCCAAAGTCAGGCGGCTAATTATTGGTGAGCGAAAAAAATGGATGAATGCGTGCGTGCCTATGGGGTTAGTTTGGGTCCTCCGACGCTGGGTTGGGATCAAGCATGGATCAAGCATGCTGCTATGAAATCTACACTCTCTGCTCTCTTACCATACCTCCCCCCACCCAAAGAGTCGCTGGAGTCCCCAGCGCCGCGCGCTCGGAGCGCGAGTCAGATGGTGGCGCCGCTGCAGCCTCAGTGGCCTCGCTTTCTGGTTACTCCTCTGTCGCGCGCAGTGGACTGAGCGAAAGATTGAGGCTTGGTATCTGACGCCACTGGAGCTGAGTCTGAAGCAAAGGGGACAGAGTAGGAGCCAGCGCAGCGAGTACCCGCAGGAGTTATTGGACCTCCTGCTCCACGTCGGGCCTAGAATCCAAGAATCTAAGACAACCAACAAAACCGAAAAGCATCGCCGAATGTGGCCAGGAACCCTACCAGCAAAACTAAACCTTCTATGGAGGCGGCGTAAGCTAGACAGCGAAGTGTCAAGCAGCAGAGGCCGGGGGGCCTGCAACTCTCAGAGCAAAGTCCCTCCGACAATCTAGGGGAAGAGGAGGAGCTAACGCGAGCCCAGACCCTCCCCTGCCCCGCCCCCAGCCCGAGGTTTGAACCACTTCTGCTCTTTTTAAAAACCCATTGAACTTGGATAATCAGGATCAGAATCCGGTTGGTCACGCTTGTCCCTCAGGAAGAACGCCCTCAGGGTCTAGTGTATTTCAGGAGACACTCACCCCCAGGCCTACGCTTGGCGGTCTCCAGAGAGGTGTCATCACCTCTCTGTCTGTTGTCTCTTCCCTAAAAACGAGAGAGTTGGAAATAGTCGCACCTGTAGAGACATCTATCCTTGGTTTCTAAAATGGTGGCGGGCAGTTCTTTGAGCATGAGTGTTGGAGGAGGCTATGGGACCCTGTGGAGCCTGCTGCTTTGTTAACAAGAAAGTGGGTAGGAGAATGTCTTAGTGCATCCTGCCTTCTGTAAGCAGTCAGGATTCCCCCAAGAGCAGTTGTAGTGAGGGCATGACTTGTAGAAGGACTCCGTGTGTCTTGGGGACCCTGGACAATCCCATTATGACATGAAAAGTGGAGGCTGTTAACAAGACATGTTAAATTCAGAATTAAATCTACCCTGCCCAACATCTGCAGTTAAAGTCCTCCTTAAAACCTAACACTTGAACCTTCACAAAGACCAAGGCATTTGCAATCCCCTCAACCTACCTCCAAAGGCTAAAGAAGGAGGAAGGCAGTGTCCTTTTGCATTTAGGGTCCTCTTGGCTATCTTTAACACAGTGTCACTATGTGGTATGAGGAAGGCTGAGCTTGTAGTCCCTCTCTGCCAGCTTTTCTTTCTAAAAAAAAAAAAAAAAGACAACACTGGAGGGGAGACTCAGAGCACACAAATGGGAAAAAGACATGTCCCACTTCGCCTATGACTTCCTACCATTTCTTGCTCCAGGAACCCCCGTCTCCCAGCCCATCCCACCCATCTGGTGGCTGTTTAAAGTTGGCAGGACTTGGAGAGAGGTGAGGTCCCATCTCTGAACAGGTTAAGCTCCACATATTAAAGTTCAAGTCAAAAATGTCTGCAGAAAATCCCCTGCTGCCAGCCCCCAAAGTTCCGGTGGGCCACTGCCTGTGCAGAGAAACCTGTGCTCACTCTCAGGTTACCTTGACCTCTGGTATCTCAGATAAGTGGCCTGCAAGGGATGGGCAATTCTACCTTGCCTATTTAAAGCTGGTCACAGCCTACCCCCACCAGCATCCCTTTCAGAGCCTGTACAGGGAGAGCAGCAAGAGAAAAGACCCCAGAGTTCCTGGGTTTGGGTGCTCTGTGAGGTTAGGAGACGATCAGAGGGATTTGTGACAATCAAGAGTCTGAGCAACTGTCTCCCCCAATCCTAGGGGACGGTAGAAGGAGGGTGGAGAAGACAAGCAGTAGCCTCCTTTGCTAGTATGTCTGCAAGTGTCTCCCTTGGTGGTTACACTTGCCTTGATGTCCTGAGGGAACAGGACGGCAAGGGTGACACACTACTGGCATCCCTGCCCACTTTCGGCTAAGGCGAGCAAACCCAGGGGAATGAGGCTCCAGCTCCGGTTTTCAGTGGTTCGGTCTGTCTAACTTAGCGCTTGGAAACTTCTACTGAGACAAATGTCCCATCCACCCACGCTGACAGAGTTAGGCAGTCTGAGGCACTTCGCGTTGCTTTGCCATATGGAGGGGAACAGAACTTTATTTACGTGGCTTTTCCCAAAGTGTTAAAGCAGACAGCAGAGTACCTGTTCTCTGTTTCTGTAAAAGTCGGCGCGTTTCTGTTGTTAGGTGTTCTCTGTTGTGTGTGCCGGAGTGTGATTGCAGGGAATGGGTGCCTGCTCCCTCCCCCTAGGGAAAAGAAAAAGAAGGATCGCCATCCCTCTGTACTTCGGTGGGCTTGGTTCTCTTGCTCTGAGGGCTCCATACTACCGGGACTTCTGCAACCGGGAGGAGCCCCGCTCGGAACAAAAAGCTTGGAGGAAAGTCCGCTGAATCCTGGATGCTGTGTGAGAGGAACGCGCCTGGGCTCGGCTCCGCTTAGCTCTGCTTCTGTTACCCGACCGCGCGCTCCGCCTGCTTCAGTCTCCAACCCAGACCGGCGACTGCAGACCTTCCACTCTTAACCTTCTCTTCCGAGTCTCAGATCCCTCAGTTCTAAGCTGCCCAGGCTATACGCGCGCCGCCAGATAGATTCCAGTAACTGGAGTGCCCAGGACGAAGCCCGGGCCCCAAATGCAGCCAGGAGAGGAGGCTTCCTCCTGTAGCTGCTCTTCTTCCAAATAAACTAAGCCACCGCGGCTTGTGATACCACATTTCTGATGGAAAATTGGGATGACTCCACTCCCCGGGCTGAAGCCCTTTGTAATCTAACAAGATATCAGGAACCGGGGTGGTGGGTGAGCGCAGCGGAGGCAGGGGGGTATCTCCCGCGAGCTTTAGAGGAACTACCTACATCCAGACACCCCCTCAGGGGCCCGCCTGCCGGGTTTATTTCATCCCCAGCTCCCACCTCACCCCCTCCCTTGCCGAACCTGGCCGAGATAAGGCCGAAATTCTACCTGAAATCATATCATTACTTTCTCCGGATAATGGATTCCCTGATTTCTAAGCCCCCCCCACCCCGGGGGCGATGGACCAAGAAATGCCAGGGGGGATTTGGAGACAGCAGGCGCCTGGAAAACAGCCAAGATAGGTACTGTTTGAGTGCATAAAGCACCAACGCCTTCCTCTTTCCTCCCCCTCCCAGCTCTGCTCCCACTGTTTTGCGTCCCAACACCAGCACTGGGTATAATTGCCTCAAAATTCGATGTTCTGGTTCTAGAATTTCAACATTTGTGGAGTTAAAAGAAATGAATCTCTATAAGGAAGGCAAAATTGAGGCACAGAGACAGCCCATGGAAGGCTTGGGGAAACTATTCCAGCTCTGCCTGGGGCAGCTGCTTGAGGGTGTCCTTGCTAGTGCCCCCCCTCAAAAAAAAACTTGTGGAACAACAAGGATAACAGGTAACTCTCATCCCAGTTAAGTTAGGGTCCCTTGAGGGCAGTTCTCTACTCAGAACACCAGGTTGCTGTGTTCTTCCCAAGAGGGTTTCGGGTCCCTCTGGCAGCTTGGGAGGTTGGCTAGGGCAGAGAATAGCCTATTTTTCATCTCAGTGCTTACTGGCTCCTGGACTTACTTAAGCATTGGCCTCTGTTCTATCCCTGAGACAGAACTCCATAGCGAGGGTCCAGGCAAGGAGCCCCAGGGAATGAGTCAAAAGAGGGAAGAAATTAAGCAAGCTGCAAGACACAGGAACAACCAGGAACCTTCTAATTCCAGCCAGGGGACTGGAGTGTGTCCTAGGCTCTCTGACCTCAACATCTCTCCACCTCACCTTGGCCAGACAAATGGCTCCCAGGATTGAATGCAGGATTTATGAGAGGTCTTGTGCCCTTGACCGCCCACCCACCTCACTCAGTGACAAAATTTGTTCATGACATCTTTTTGCTTCAAAATCTCCCCAAAGAACATTTACCATTTCTGCACACTTTGTAGTTTCCAGGGAAGAAAAGCAGGGGAGGACTGGTCTTAGAAAGGGGTCTGACCTTTTGGTTAAAAAAAAAAAACCTTGAGTGACCCCATCCTAGTAGTAGCAACAAGGTGAAATCACTTCACTCTTTTCCAACTGCAGCTGAGTGCAGGAAATTGCCTCTTTAACTCCTGAGGGCAGTAAAAGGTAGAAAGAAGACCTCAACTGGGTGCCTCCAGCAGAAGAATTTTGAAAGATCTTTGTATGGGTAGCAGGGAGGGATGGTGGGTGTAATTTCCGAGATTCATCACTGGCTTCAAATGAGGGCCAGGAGCTCCAGGTTCTGATTTGGGATCTGCCTCTGCTGAATGTTCAACAAGTCGCCTCTTTGCTGTACCATTATTTTAGCATCTTTAAAACCAGGGCCCTGGCACTCTGAAGACCACACTTCTGTAACTTTTCTGTTCCTCATCATAGACACTGCCCAGTACCTTTACTTAGCCTATCCCTGAGCAAAGATCCTGGCAGGTTGGGCTTCTAATGAGTACAGCTGTGCCTAGGTTGATCCTGCCTGGCACCACTGCCTTCTCCACTCCAATTCTGCACTCCCTGGAGCCCAAGGCACATACTCATTCCATCCAGCCATCTGCTGAACAGGCCCAAGGGATTCTCTGTCTTGCTCCCCTCTCAGGCCTTGCACAGGACTGTGGGGGTGGTGGAGCTCATTGGTGGCTGTTGCCACAGACTACTACCTACTACATGACTTCTGAGCTAGATGAACTCTCTAGGCCCTAGTCTCAACAAGCTCCCCTCCCCCACTTCAGCTCCAGCTCATCCTGCAGCAAGCTAAGCGGCCTTTACAAACTGTAGGAAACATTTTATTTACAATTGAAGGCTTCCTAAGTGCAGCGTGTCCTTATGCCACAACCCTGGGGGCCTGGAGGAACAGTTTAATCAAACACTTCACAGTTCGAGCTGCTTGTGTCGGGAGAAGAGTTTGAGTAGCGACTGGGGGGCATTTGGTGGGGACGCTGAAACTCCTTTTCCTGGGCGGTGTTGGTCCCAGGCAGCCCGGGCAGTCTGGGGTGATATGTGAACCGGCAAAACAAGGCTCCATAGTCTCTGGCCTGCCCAGCCACCAACAGAAAGTAGGCACAAAATCCTGCCCACGTCTGAGAGGCAGCACGCAGCGCCACGGGGTCCCGTTGGTCCTCCAGTTTATAAGCCTCCAAGCGGGGCCTGGACGGGCTCGGGGCTTTTTGGAGCACTGCTGACTGTGGGCTGAGGCGCCGGGAGCAACTCCGAGGCGCTGCTGCTGCCGCTGCCAAGACTGCTGGCACTACCCGCGCTGACGCTGCTACCACTGAGGCTGCTGGCGCTACCGAAGCTGTAACTGCTGCCGCCACTGCTGGTCACGATGAGGGCGCCAGCGGCCGAGGCCTTGATAACTGTAGTTTGGTGCACAGCCCGCTCAGCTCCCTCAGTCCGTTCTGTGTCGCTGGGGGCCATGTCCAGGGACTCTGAGTCGCTGCTCTCGCTCTCAGCCTCCCCCTCTGAGCGACTGGGGCTCCTCTCCTCGGGTTCACCTTCGCCTTCAGCAGGGGCTCCTCCTGAAGGCTTTTCACCTGCTTCCTTGTCCTTGTCCTTCTGCGCCTGGGCCTCCTTGGAGTGTCGCCACTTCATCCGCCGGTTCTGGAACCACACCTTCACCTGTGCAGTGAAAGGAAAAGAGACACCAAGATGAGCAATGGGCCCTTAAGGCAGGAAAGCACGCTGGTCACTCCCAATACCTTTGCCAAAAGTTAGACTAGGTATAAGGACCAAAACATCCAACCGGTCCTTGGATGAGACCAGGGATCCTGGCCTACCCAATCCAGTAGGCCCGTTTTCAAAAAGTGGCCCAACCTGTGGCCTGAAGTGACCTGGGTGCATGTTGAAGAGGCAGATATCTTTATGCAGTATATGAAAGTGTTCTACTCTAAATGCTTCTTAACTACTCGTGACTCTAGATTCCTGTAAGAATCTGGTTAGTTAAAATGCATATACCCACGATTGTACACTCATTGGCAAGGCTTTGGTATTGCCATACCTCTCATATGTAGCCCAGGCTGTCCTCAACCTCTAGATCCTTCTGCCTCTGCCCCCAGATTGCTGGTACTACAGGCTGGTGCCATCAAGCCTGACCAATGGAGGAAATTGGGAAGCCGAAAGGAAAAGGAGACTCAGAGTTAATCCTAATGGGGTGAGGGCACAACCTGACTTTCAGGAAAAAAAGAGCATTTCCTTGGCATAATCCTACTGGGGATTCAGAAAATGGTGGAATCAAACATGTGCAAAGTGGAGTTTGGGGTTAAAGACCGAGCAGAGACTCTATATAAATACATCTGATCCCCTGGAGAACCCATCTCGTTCACACAAGTTCCAGCTTCCCTTTTAAAAATAACATCCACAGCTGGTGGAAAACGGCTGGGCTCTTCAGTGTGTCTGTATGTGCTGGGGAGGCGAGTTGTGTAATAGAGAACAGAAAGACAGAGAGACAGAAGCCTGCCTTTGGCTTCTGCCCTGCTGAGGATTGTCAGCACAGAGGTAGCAAGGGCCACTGCTTAAGGGGACAGAACAAGGTGACTCTGCTGTATTCAAAATTCAAAAAGAAAAAGAAAAAACCCAGCTCTTGAATTTTAAGAAAAAGAGATAAATTCATCCAGGCACAATAGATTTCCTATTGTCTTGAAAAAAATATTAAAGTAAGGAGAACCTGCTGAAATGTCCTTGAGTGTATAAGAAAACCTTTTCCCACTCTTTCCCTCAGGCTCCTCCTGCCCACCCCCCACCAAAGATTTTCTTCAGAGCCTAAGCCGTTAGAACATCGGACTGTGGTCTCTCCAAGCAGACTCCTCGCCCTACTGGAGCTAAGTAATTCCGTTTGAAATGATATTTTTCACTTCCTCACAACTGAGGATTTCACAATCCAGCAGCAGCCACAGAGAAGGAGGAGGGAGGGCAGAAGGAGGAAAAAAAAAAAAGAAGCCAACAACAATCTCTTGACTTTGGGTGTTTATCTCTTCTGAATAAACTGCCTCCTACAGCGAACTGCACTCCAGTTAAGTATACAATTATCATCTCCCGGCCTATTTGCTTTCTCCGTGATTCTTTCGCCTGTTGGCCAAAATAAACACGTAGTGCTTGTTGACATACATCTTAGGGGATGGGTGATTCTCTCCTTCTTTCTTCCTCAATGTCCACTCCCCACCACCACTACCCTTCTCTCCTCAGGCCTCAAGTTGTAACTTCCACAAAGTCTCATGCAATCCAAGACCTTGTGTTTGGATTGCAGGTGAGTGGGTAGGGATGGAGGGAGCTTTCAGGATCAGCTTTATGTCACTGCCCACCCAAGAGCTTTACCTGTGCATCAGTAAGGCCAAGCATTGCAGCCAGCTGCTTTCGGTCTGGCTTGGTCACATACTTCTGGATCTCAAACCTTTTCTCCAGGCCTTTCCTCTGCAGGTTGGAAAAGACAGCTCGAGACCATGAGCGCTTCCTCTTGTACGTTTGGGGCATGGTGTCCTTCGTGAGCACAGCGTAGGGACCTGCCAGCAGGCCAGAGAAGGAGAGAAGAGACAAAGCAGCCATATTAGTGTTCAGGCCACTGCCTGATTAAAAGTGGTTTCTGCTAACAATCAGCTCCTACCTCCATTCTGAAAACCCCGAATGGCCTCTCTGAGGAAGAATTTTACAACTATTACATCCACGGTCCAAAAGCCGACAGCTAGTGTGGTGTGGAAACGCCAGACAGTTCATCCATTAATTCCAAGAGAAATGCATAAACCTAATGCACAAGCATCAGGCATGATGAGATAGACAAAAATTTCCCTGGGGCCTGAGTGATATACCGTTGACAGTCCAAATTTCTACTGTGTATATGTGTACTGCCGCATGTGCCCTGCTTGCAGCCATAACCTCGCCAAGCAAAAGTGATGGAGGTTACCCCAAAATGCAAGTGTAGCAATTACTATACAGTGCCATGTGATGCTTCATTTTCAAACCACCATCTCCCACGAAAAGACTTAAGGAAAGCTCCTCATCCCACACACCCGCCATGCTCAGGCTTCCTTCCATGCTTGGCCCCCCAGTCGCCCCAAGCCAGCGCCAGCTAGAGGAGAAATCTTTCCGTTTCTATCTCCCTACTTCCTAGCTTTCTGCCCCAACTACAGGACTGCGACACTGCCACTGCCACTTGAGCCATCAGTCCTGAGATTTCTGACAGTCGCTGGACCTGCTCGCTGGGCCATACTTAGTTGGGAAGTTTTCCTTACCTGGAAACGTGTCTTGAAATTGATGCTGAACTGAATTTCTTGGGTTGGAGCTTAAGGGACTGAGGATGGCAGAAGCGTCGTTAATGGGATCTAGAGACGCAAAGAACTGGCCGGCGGAGGGCTGCAGGCCTGGGAGGTGCACCCCTGCGGGACGCCCACCGGTGAGCAGGGATGTGAGATCTGGAGAAAGGAAAAAGAGTTGGTTACACCGCAGGCAAACGCACACTCTGCAGATTTGATCCTTTCCCTCGCCCTCATTAGGTTTCGCTGGAGCGAAGTCAGGAGAGAACTCGGTCTCCCTAAGAAAACGTCCCTCCCAACAGCCGCCAAGGAACTATGCACGAAGTGTTCCCGCGTGTGTCCCTCAGGTCCAGTCCACCATATAGCAAGAAAAGGCTTTACATAAAACAGCCCTGAAGATGTCACTCTCAGGTGCTTTCCAGAAAGTCCACGTACCCCAAATCCCCGCCCCTAGAGCCCGCACTGTGCTCTCCCCGCCCTGGGGAGTTTAAACCACAATTTTGCTTGTCCGCATTCCTTGGGTGGAATTTTACTAGAAATCAGATAAATGGAACGTAAAGTGCTCCCTGGCAGGACTTTCTTTGTCAGAAAAATACAGTTCTCGCTCTCTAGAGATGTGGTTCAATAAACAGATTGTAGCGACTTTTGCAAATATTTACACCAATTATTTTTATGAATATGGACTCAGCGTCATGTTTATCCCTAGAGTCTTTTTTTACATCAAGCAGGTGAGTTTTAGACTGAATGTTTCATAGTTTTCTCACAATTCATTTTCTTCTCCCCCATTTTACCGATTTTTCCTTAATTGTACAAACACTCAAAAGCATCCCGAACTAGCTTGGTGTCCAGAGAGTGGGTTAGGGCCTTGATCAGAGAGGCCTGCAGCCTCCCGCCCAAGACCTACCTCTCAGCGTGTTGCCTTCCTTGACTTTAGGGTCAAATTCTGCAGACAAAATGCGGTCAATTCCAAATTTAAGATCTTTGCTGGAAGGGGCCGGAGTGGAGCCGCTGTGATGGGGGACCACCCGCGTCCCCGAGGCCGGGGGCTGCAGGGAGCCGGCCCGGGGTGGAGGCGGAGGCTGTTGCTGCTGCGGCTGCTGTTGCGCCGGTTGCTGTTGCTGCTGTTGCTGTGGGTGGTGGTGGTGGTGGTAGGCGGCCGAGAGTGGAGACAGCCGCTGCGGGAAGCCAGCCGGGACTTCGGAGGGCGCCACCACCGGGGTGGGACGGAGCGGGGATCTGGTGGCAGCTTGGAAGGAGGCGTGCGGGTGAACTGAGCCCAAGTGCGCGGTAAGGGCGGCGGCCGAGGCCCCCACCAGTCCCTCCGGAGCCGCCCCCGGCTCCCCCACGCCGGCATGCAGAATGTCTGCGATGCAGAACGAAGGTTTCTTGACGGCAGCAGGGTCCAAGGGGAAGGAGCAGCCGCCAGGACCGGCCGAGGAGCAGTATGCGGCCGACCAGAGACTGAAGTTGGAGGCGTAGAAGGGAGCCAGTCCCGCTGCGAACATCCTGGCGGGGTGAGCCGCTGTCACGCCGGACCCGGGGAGTGGGTGAGTGGATGGGGTGCGCGGCCCAGTGGCGGACGATCCGCTTTCGTTTCTCCGCCCTCACTGAAGAAGAGAGACGGGGGAGCCCTAGCGCCACCGAGGGAGGAGGCGAGCGAGGGCCGATCTCTGCCGGTCACCGCCACGGCCCCTGGCCTCACTTTAAAGGCGGCGCGGCGCCCGCGCTCCCCGCGGGCTGGAGGCGAACGAGGGGCGCAGGAGCCAGGGGTGCGGGCGGAGGCCTCGGCTCCGCTACGCCGGGAAAGCCGAAGAGACAGGGGCCAGACACCGAAAGAAAAACCCAAACAGCTAAGCCCTACGAGCTAAATTTAAAACAACAATAATAATCCGTTAGTTTAAAAAAAAAAAAAAGTATTAAGAGGGAAGAAAAAAAAAAAAAAGTCCTCTCTAAAAACTCCCAAAGTTTTGGCAAGAGCTTTCAAGTCAGACCCCGGGTAGGACCTCGATCCGAGCGCTCATTGGCCAGCGTCATGACCAATGGGACTCGGGAATGGAAAGGAATTGGGAAAGAGGAGGCGTGGCCAGCCCCTCGGCCACGCCCAGGCCACGCCAAAGTGTTTTCTGCGGCCGCGTGGGCAGAACAGGGAACGGCTCGTCTCTCTCCGCTGCGTAGCGGCCGGGCGGCGGCTCCCTGGGCCTCCAGCTGTCCTCTCACTTCTGCGGCTCCGGACCGACACTGGGCGAGGAGAGTTGGTCACAGGAGATTTTTTCTCCAGCTCTCCCTGGGGGACCAGATCTAGGAAAGCTGGGGCTCCTACGCTTTATCGCGCTGCAAAATTGCCTCTCGCTGGAAAGTTGAGCGCGTCGGCAGCCCCCACAGGTTTCCCCCACTCTTTACCTCATTCTTGTCCGGTTTTCCTTCACTCTGCTTTTTTATCCCAAGAGCCAGTGTCCATGGCAAAGCCCCCATCTTTCCTGGTTCCCTGCCGCATGCTGCGGCGGGCCCAGAGTTCTGGCCCTGCGTCTGCTTCCGGGGAACTCCTCAGAGAAACGGGGAGGAGGGGCGGCCGCAAATTAGTTTTATTCTGAGCTGTCATACGGTGACAATTTGAACAAGTGACTTTCAAACAAAATAAGATGGATGGCTCCCAACGTCTCCCTTAGATGCAGCCAAACCGTTTCCCTTAAGCCTCAGCGACAACAAAACAGGCCTTCTCTGGAAACCCGGGAGAGAGGCATGCGCGTCCCCTTCTTGGCTGCACCTTGTCGGAAATGCCACGCTCCTCGCCACCACATCCCCGGGTCACGTGGGGTCCGTTGTTTTGCAAGTGCCCCAAAAGCATATTTCCTTGGGGTTAAATACTATTCAGTGACACTATTCAGTGACAGTTTTCCTAGGAACCCCTTTGGCCTGGTCGCAGGAGGAGTTCAGTAGTGCATAATGCCTTCCATTTGCGCTTTGGGTCTTTAAAACGCAGGGTGGGTGTAGTGTGTGTGGGGGGGGGGGTCCTGCAACATTAACATCTCTATTTTAAGAATTCGTTCTCTTAAATTATAGTCAGAATGGATTTCCCCACCCCTCTCCCAAACAAACCACAAGCCACCCAGATGAGCTGTTCTTGCACATTTTCAGGAAGAAAATCAAATAATGGCAATAATGAAACCACCAAATCTTTTGTTTTCGATTGTCCTAATTAGTGTCTCCTAACAGAGGTTCTATGGTATTTTTATTTCCCTTCAGCACGGGGACACTAGGTAAACCCAGAAATGTAAGTGAACTTGTCCATCCTATCTCAAGTTCAGGATTTGAGTGTGCTCATTAATTTCTAGGAGCTTCTAGCCCCTTGTCTCAGATGCTGTCATTCTAAGCTTTTACTTTCTCCTGGAAAGCAATCAGTAACTAATCAATCCCTTCGAATCACCCAGCACTGATTTTCTTTTTTGTCCCTTCGTCTCTTCCTCTCTTCTCTTCTCTTCTCTTCTCTCTCCCTCTCCCTCTCCTTTCTCTTCTCTTCTCTTTTCTCTTCTCTCTCCCTCTCCCTCTTTCTCTCTCTCTCTGTCTCTCCCTCTCCCTGTCTCTGTCTCTCTTTCTTTCTCTCTCTCTCTCTCTCTCTCTTATTCCCCCCCCCCCCTCCGGTCTCCTCCCCTCTCTACTAAAAGAATTCTTTGCCCTCTGGTCCTGGACGCTGGGACAGAGATGCTATTTCCACAGAGATGGAGGGGTGTGGTCGGTTTCGGGTTGGAGCAACCAGAGCAAGGGAGGCAGGAAGTCGTGTATAGCTAGAGGTAAACAGCGACAAGTACAAGGCCACTTGAAGTGTTGCCTGAAGGTTCTGATGCTACATCTCCGGTGGGAGGACGGCTTCTTTGTAACTTCACAGGCCCCAAGGAGGGTCGCTAGCGAATAGATGTAGGGGCAGCCCCGAGCCCTCTCCTCTCTTTTCTAGTGCCGTCTCCAGTTCGGTTGCGATTTCAATCCCACTGTGAACGTTCTAAGCCCAAACTCCCGGTTCTAAAAGAGAAGCCTTTATGCTTCACCCCAAGAGGCGCACAACCTTCACCTCCTGCTCTAGATGTAAAACTCTCCACCCTTTTTTTTTTTTACCCTTTCTAAGATTTGAGGTCCCCCAAGTGAGAGGCAAAGAATGCCACCTTGGGACCGCAGGCTCTCCAGGTCCCCTACGTCGCCCACGACCCGCATCTGCCGCGCTTCAAAAGGTCGGGAGAGAGCCAGGCAGACACGGGAAGTTGAGGCCGGGAGAGCTGGTTTCTCCGCTGAGCCCTTGCCCCGCCGCGCGCCGCCTCTCTCTTTTTTTTTTCTCTCTCTCTCTCTCCCCTAGCAAGGCCAGAGGCTGCTTTGCAAGTTGCCACTTCGCCAGTGCCCCTCTGTTTTGTCGCAGCCGCACCAGCGCCATCCTGGGCCTACCCGCAGCTTCCGGAGGCAAAGGCAAAAAGGAAGCCTTCCCAGCGACCCCGCCTGTCTCCGGACCCGGTGCCCAGGCCCAGGCCTTGCCCCTGTGGGCCTCGCCCGGAGCTGAGCCCACAGATTGCCCTCCTCCTTACTCCCTACCCCTCAGAATCAAGAAAGCAGCAGGAAGCCCTGGGCTCGCCGGAGTTCAGGTCATCTCCTGTTTTTTTGATGGGCTCAAACTTGGACTAAATGAGCGGATGTGCCTGCGAGATTGGTCTCAAAATAGAAGCGGCCCTAGTATTTTAGGATACTGCAGAAATCCTTATTTCTTCCGGAGAAAAACTCTATAATGACTCCTAGCACTTCCCCTTTCAATATTTGTGCAACTTTATCTCCACCGGCAAGTTGCTCGGGTGACGCAAATCCGCCCTTGTGTATTACAACTACCAAAATAAATGCGCGGAAATCAATTCCCTTCTAGCAATGAAAATATAAATATACAGCTGCGACTTTCCCCTTTAATCTTTGCTTTCCGAGCGACTCCAGGCTGTGGTGAAATGAACTGGCCCGGGGCTATTGAGACTGGCAGGGAGGCCCTGGGGGCAGAGGCGAGGGCTCCCCGGGGCCTGGTAACCACGAGGGAAAGCAAAGAGTCTGATTAAACCGAATTAACTCGAAGGTGATCTTCACAGCCAACCCTAAACGTGGCCACATGTTTTGGAAGATCCGAATTGACTGAGATTTCTGATCATTTCTGGCTGCTGTCATAATTTCAAGTTTCCCTTTTCTTCCCCTGGGTAGACACGGATAAACACTGCTTTTCTGTACTGGGAATGGACAGGGTCGGAGGTCCCTTTATGATGTAACAATACTGGCTTATGGAATTTAGGATGGAGAAAAGGGACCTGAAATCAGGGGCTTATGCAATGACACAGGCAAGAGATGGGCTTCAAAGGCCTTCGGTTCTTGTCCTAAAAATGGGGACCCAAAAAGTTAGTGAGAGTATGTGCTGGCCTTTACTTATTACAGGAAGGTGACTGGTGGTTTTGTTGTTGCTGTTGTTGTTGTTTTATCTTGTAGACTCTGAACAAAATAATACAAAGGCAGCGGCTCTATGGATTTGAGACAACCCCCTCCATGCCCAGTTAAATTTTAAGTATTCTCTCCTACATGATACCTACTTTTTTTTTAAGAGAAATAAATATCCACAGTCAAAAAGAGAATGAAACACAACTTTAAGAATTTGAGAGATTTGTAGCATGGTAGGAATCTGTGTATATTGCGCCTGTCATTCTACCAGCTGGAGACCAGATTTATAGACTGCTGGGCCCAGCACTCACATTTAGTGGATGCAGGGCTTCTGTTCCTTGTGGGTTCTAGATACTAGGGTTTAGGACTCCAGCAGCCCTTATAGATATAACACACACATACAACAGCCCTTGGATTATTCTAAGTAGGGCACGACTGTCTTTTCTTGAAGACCTTGAAGTTATTCCAGAGTTTTGAGGAGAATTAGATTTTGCTATAGGAAGGGAAGGGCAGATAACAATGCAACAGGACCACAAGCATCCAGAATCGTTTGATGTAGCTTTTTTCTTTCCACTATTTCCCAGGTGTAGACTCCCAGGTGTCCAGCCCTCTATGGCCATAACCCTGCCCTTGAAATTTAACCCACAAGTCTGAATCCAGAGCTCCAGCCACTCTTTGGGTTTGATCCCATTCACCCTTTCCCTGTTGTTAGAATACATCACTCCACACACATGTACCTACTCCCCTACACACACACACACACACACACACACACACACACACACACACACACGGCACACAAAGCTGATGCTCCTGAGAGTCTTAGAGGCTTCCAGCAAAGAGCTGCTTCTCTTCCTATCCAAGTCATCCTTACATCCAGCCAAGAAGTACCTCAGATCTCCAAAAACCAAGGGTAAAACTCATTGCAAACTGGCTTATCTAGTACCATAGATGCACAGGTATTTGCAATGAAGGTATCCTTTTAAGAGAAAAAATCTGAGAGACCCTCTAAAGACTTTATAAGATTAAATGCTTTTTTCCACAGGCTGCTATTAGGTAGCTGTAAACTGTGCTCTCCGGCTCTCCATATATTAGCCATTCACCTTGTAGACTCTGGAATTGTTGGCTTGAATTATTGAATCTAAAAGACTGGTTGTTTAGGTAGGAAAACAAAGTGTAGGGTTTTTTTTTTTAATTATGTATTTAAAACAGCCTGGTGTTCTGAAGGAGAGATAAAAGTTATTCCTAAGGGAATACTTCTCTAACAAATAAAGCAAAGTGAACTAGGTTAGAATTTTCAAGTTGGAGCACAGGTCTGACCAAAAGGTAGGAATAGGAAGGGACCTTCTGAGGTACAAGGATGCTAGAGCCAATGAAAGGAATTTTGTAGATCAAGTCAAAGGGCAGTCCCCATCTCAATGGTTGCAATCTGCCCACCCCACCAGA